CAATTTCACCTTTAAAGGATGAGTATAAGGACCGTATAAATGCTATGATTGCCCGCGAATCCGTTAGACTCATAATCAATATAAATGATTTGCGCCGTGAAAACCCGAACAGGGCCAAGAGGTTATACAAATCTTTGTTTTACTTGTCAGTCTTCTTGTGAATTCTTTTTCTGAGGTATTATCTTGCCAGAGGGCCTTGAAAAAATGTATACAAAACATTAATCCTGAATACGCCCAGCGTTTTCACGACTTCTTTGTCGGGTTTGAAGGCAGTTTTGGTGCAAAGCATGTCACTCCCAGATCTCTCACTTCGAAACTTCTCGGCAACATGGTCTGTGTAGAGGGGATAGTCACCAAATGTTTGTATATTTGTCTTTATATTCCTTAAGGTTCTCTCGTTAGGCCTAAAGTTGTCCGCAGTGTTCACTATTGTCCAGCAACTAAAAAAACGATAGAGCGTCGCTATGCTGATATTACGAGTTTAGAATCATACCCCTCTTCTGGGGTGTATCCCACGACCGACGAGGGTGGAAACCTGCTAGAAACGGAGTATGGCCACTGTATCTTTAAGGACCACCAGTCGCTTACTGTCCAAGTACGTTTCAGCTTAACTTGATACTCAGGAAATGCCAGAGACAGCGCCTGCTGGTCAATTACCCAGGTCTGTAGATATTGTTTGCGATGACGACCTAGTCGACGTCTGCAAGGTAATCTCTCATCTTCATCACTTCTCCTAGCCTGGTGACCGGGTTCAAGTTGTTGGCCAATTTCGTTGCCTACCGGGCAAGAAAAATGGATATACAACTGCCAGCTTTAGAACTGTATTGATTTCTAATAATATACAACTCCTTGCCAAGGATTCTGGCCCGAGTTTTTCCGAGAAAGACATAAGCATGATGAGATTACTCTCTAAACGGCACGTAAGTCTTATTTGCCTTTTTGTGAATAATTAGATTCGTGGGATAATATTTTGATTTTAAACCGCTAGGACATTGTAAATTTGCTTGTCCGCTCTCTGGCGCCAACGATTCACGGTCATGAACATATTAAAGAAGCGATCTTATATCTCCTCTTGGGGGGTGTTGAACGTCACCTCCTTAATGGAAGTAGAATTCGTGGAGACATAAATTTGCTTCTTCTCGGTGATCCGTCCGTGGCCAAGTCTCAGTTCCTTCGTTTTGTTCTTCATGCCGCTCAACGAGCTATTGCCACAACTGGACGAGGATCGTCCGGTGTCGGTTTGACCGCTGCAGTCACCACAGACGCTGGCACTGGTACGTAGATTATTGTATCCTCTCAGAATCTCCATTTACTTACCTCTATTTGTGTCTAGGTGAGCGAAGTCTCGAGGCTGGCGCCATGGTCCTGGCTGACCGAGGAATTGTTTGCATCGATGAGTTTGACAAGATGTCGGACATTGATAGAACTGCAATACATGAGGTCATGGAACAAGGTCGTGTTACCATTTCTAAGGCTGGAATTCAGGCAAAGCTTAACGCAAGATGTTCAGTTCTCGCAGCCGCAAATCCTGTTTACGGTCGCTATGATCCATACAAAGCTCCCATGGATAATATCGGCTTGCAAGTAAGACTTTATCGCATATAAAGCTGTTTATATAAATACATTTACTTAGGGAATTTTTACCTTATCCATCCTCATATCTTCTCAAATCGTCCATTATCGCATTGATGCTCTCTGTATTTCTGATTAGCGTGTCTGATTTCATGCGTTTGCTATAACTTCTAATAATGAGAACCAAAGTTCCTATATAGCCTTTTCTTTGCCTAGGAACTTAATTGATATGCTTGGTTATGGCACGTTATTTAGTTTGAATATTTCTTTATCTTACCTATACCATTTGCACAAATTAGCGTCAAAGTTCATTCCTTCCCATGATTTAACGCATATCGTTGAGTCATTTTATTCTTCTTAGTATCCATTTTTCACTGGGCAAGAATGTGTATAGTAAAGCTAATAGAATACGAGACTAGC